AAGGTACAGTCTACAAGAACTCCCAAAGTGCAGAGCTTGTTTGATCAGAAGTGAGCCTCTCTCATCTTCTCGCTGATTAATGATATTAATTAAATGTCAATCTGCGGTCTCAGTTTTGTATGATTTCTGAGCCAGGCTTGGAACAGGTGATCCTTGGTTGAGGAGTTGACGACAGGCCTGTTTAGATATCATTCGTCAGAGACAGCATCAAAGGATTTTTATTTTTTAAGGAAATTAAGGAAAGTCTTAGTACTTTCAGAGCCAGTACTTCCGATTTTGCCAGATCTGGCTGAGTTTTGGGACTGAACGGTGATGGAAGTCATCTGTCGTGGATGCATATTGCTATGACGTTTGTTGTCATTGATGAGGAAATAAGTACCGAGCATTTTACCACTGGTTTGTTCATTAAAAGAAGATTGAAGAGCTCTGTCCATTTAGAAAAAAAAATCCAGTTGGCTGTCATGCTTTGCAGTATTAACAATGTTCTTTTGCTTGGCCTTTTGCCAACCTGTTCTGGGGACACCAGTACATGTAGTTAATGACAGACTGTCTTGTAGATGAGCCTGAAGGATTATTTTTATATATATTTTTTTGCTAGCAAGTTTTTAATTTGTGCTAGCACACTGGTATCTCTTCTGGATCACCACTGCATTGTGTGTATCCTTGTGGCTTTATTCTTGTGCCCCCCTCCCACATTGTGGAGCAAAGATACTTGAATGCTACACGCACATATACGGCAAACGCGTGCGCTGTGCGCCATACACACAGCTTAGAGTCCATGTATGGCCATGTATTGCTTCTGTATACCAGTCTAAACACAGTAAGGCTTGTCAATCCTAACATTTCAGCAGAGTTTTGCATGCGTTCCTCAGAGGATCTGGGAATTTGGGGGGTTGAAGTTGACTGTGTAGGTCTTGATGATCAAGAATTTGTTAGATTTTTGTCCATTCTAATGTCACTACAAGAAAGTTGGTACATTGTCAACAGACCTGTGTGCAGGAGTGTCGAATATAGAATTCAGCACAGAGCTCTCACCTGCTGCGTTCTTGTTACTCCAAAGCCGGAAAAAGTCAATTCACACAGCAGGATCTTCCGCTGTTCCCCTAAAATGGAAATCAAAGTTAGCAGGCATCTAATATGTCGATGGGCAGTGCTCCAATTCAGTCAGAAATTGGCCTCCAATGATCTCGGTAATTCAGCCATTAGAAGTGATCAGAGGGCCCTGTGAGTTGACGCTTTGTTGCGGAAATCAGACAGGCAGAGGCGATTTTCAATGTTTTGGGTCTCCCGATCCTGCTGAGATTTGGATTTTTAAAGCTCACCGTGGCGCTAGATTTGGGAGCAGTTTGGAGGTTTAACTTAGTGGCTTTATATTGTGGGCAGTGGAGCTTTGATGTAGAGCAAGGCCGTAATTTACAATGTATTCCCAGGCCAGACTATACCTGGTGGGACTTAAAAAAATATCAGTGTGATCTGGAGTGCACCAATCGCACCTTCAGAAATTCATTTACGTGCAGCGTGGAAGGTAGGCCAGTGCCAACAGCCAGTAGGATTCTTGTGGCATTTGGTTGTGCAGTGCTGAATCTTAACTTGGCACTGTTTGGATCGATCATTTCAGCTGAGGTGATGAAAGGCGTCAGGCTTGTCTTCAAGGCAGGGTTCAATCATAAATGAATTGTCATCACAAGATGTCCACAATTAAGTCGGGATAAAAATGTGGGAAGAAATACATTTCTTGCTGAAGGACTTAATGGCTAGTCACACTCATACTGTCATCTAGCACCTATGTATTTGGCACCATCTGACTAAAATCTTATCAGAGTGAATTTTGGGTGGGGGGGGTATCGGCATAGAGGTCTTTCACATGATGTCACATAACGGATCTGGGTATTTCTGTTGGCGATTTCATGCACCCCAGAATGTTGAGAGAACTTGAAGGCGTGCTTGTCTGCGTGGATCTGTGTAAATTGAGTGCTGACCATCAGAATCACGTGACTGAAAATTCTCTATACCAGTACATATCTGAATGTTTTAAGTGTTATTTATTTCTGTTCATAAGTAAAAGACAACAATTTATGAAATGTTTGGGTTTTCAGACAATTGAAAGAGAGCATGTTCTTGAAATTTATTCAGGGGAGGGGCTGGGTTTTGTAGAGGGAGGATGATGTGGGTATTCACGTAGAAATTTCACTGATTCATGATACAAAAGCTTCTGATTAACAAATAAACCGATTGTGCCTGCTAAATCACATGACCTATAGTGGGTACCAACAGCACAGCAACGTGTGTGTTGAGTGTTGTTTGCAAACAGTACAGCTAAGTTAAGGTATAGTACCCAGCACATCAGTAGTCTGAGTGCGATACCTACTGTCGGCTTTATTTTTGGTCAGTGATAATTAATATGAAACACTTTGCTTTTGGTGGATGCCGTGTTTGTTGATATTTAATACCCACTATAGGCAGGGGTGTGAGAATTCAGCTGATGTCAGCTATTTTTTGTTAAGATGTTGACCCTGAATTCCAGCTTTTTTTGTACACCTGGTCACTACAAAGGTGTGGGAACTTTTACATTTCAGCTTTTTGCTCGCTGTTTTAAGCTGTAATTTTAAGTGGTCGCTCACACCCCGTATAGGTCATGTGACTAAGTTGGCGCAGTCGGTCCAGTTAATCTCTCTCTTTCTACATTTTCCAATGGCTGGTAAACTATGCCCTGGTCTTCAGGACAAAAGCAAAACAATAATTTGTGTATTGTTCAAAAACCACATCCAGCTATCACAACTTCAATATCACCTCTATACATTAAATGAAAATGTGACTATCTTTCAAAGTACTGGAGAAAATGCACATGTTGAAGCACAACGTGGCTCCAGTCAAGTGTTATATTTCTGTAAACTTTGGTTGCACATAGGGATATGAAAAAGGTTTATACTCGCGGGAACGCATGCCATTCGCTGTGCGGCGGTACACTGATCAAACAGCTACGTGAGCAACCGTCTCCTTGCTCATCCTGGCTTGATGTCCAATTTGTAATTTCAATGATAATCAAACCCACACGGAAGAGCCTATTGCCAAAGTCCTTGGAGCACCGCTCCACTGAAACCAGATGGGTTTGTTTAAAAGAGACAGGACTCGAACAGTGTTTTCCCAATAAATACATGTAGTGTCCTTTATTACTTCCTGTCCGTGACAAGGTTGTAGCTTCACTTTGTTTTAACTTCAGTGCATCCACAAGGTCACCCTCTGCTGTTTTAATTAGGAAAGAGACAGGCAAACGGAGCGGGTTTGGTGCAACGACTGAACAAAAATGTTGGACAGTGAGAAGACTTATTTTTAATTTGGTTACAGCCTACAGCCTCAAAATGTTCCAGCGTCACTCATTCTTCTTATTTTGAACGTGCACTGTCTTAATGACAATGCTGGCTGCCATGGTCTCAGTGACAATGGTAGAAGCTTCTCTAGTCACTGAAGCAGTGATGTCATCCTGTAAAATACAGGCTAAGTCATAGATTTTGAGAAACGACGTGACTAATTGATTTGGCAACTGCCCCAGCGTGCAGTCACGGGTGCATGCTTGGCGTAGTGCATCTCCCGGCCTACACGAAGGTCGTTCACCTGACATGGTTGAACTTCTTGGACAACATCTCCTTTGTGCACGCGGGCATCCCAAGTTGATGATTGAGCCGTCTGCTTGTGGGGGGGGAGGGGCACATCACGTGATGTGCTGGTAGGAGGCAAGCATGCAGGTGTGCTGGTACATTGCAGAGAGTTAACGCATGTTGGCCCTTGTGCTTGAGAATGTACACATACATGCACTTCCATTGTTTTCTCATCATGCGACGATGTGTCATCTCCAGAGGGACATGGTTCTGATGGTTTGTGCAACTGTTATTCTCTAGAAATCTACCACAGCACAGGCCAGCTCCCAGTAATACCGGTACATTCTTCTCGATGGGGTACATGTATATGTATATCTGTAATCGGGTTGAAGCTTTCAAGATGATTTACTTTAAGCACCTGCGGTAATGGCAGTGTTGAATGACAAGAACAGCCTGAAACTCCAACCTAATGAATGGTGTTTGGAAATCGTTCTACATGGATACTGTCCTCAGCTGTTCCAGAGATGATTAATGTACATGCGAAAGTTACACGTACTTGATGACTAAATATGGAAGTAGTGACATTGTACATGTACATGTATTTGCAACACTGTGCTTCGGTTTCGTTGTTCTTTTTTGTCAATAAGCAGAGATACAGTATGTGCAACTGATATGAAGTTTATGCCGCTATGGAATGATTGAAAAATTAATGCTGACAGAACTTAGTTCATTTACTTAAAGACTTAAAGGTTACGTCGACGGGATATTTTGTCAAAGATCACAGATTTTTTTCAGCCACTAAAAATATTGTTGGGTCCTTGAAGGTATTGCAGTACATGTGGTGCTTAAATTTCCATCTCCAACTCTTTTTTGTTTGATGTTAACTCCAACGTCTTCACCTGTGAAAGTATCCACCGCACTGCAGCCCAGAATAAAAAAAGACCATTGTCAGAGTGTCTGAAAATTTAACGTCAGACAAGAATGCCTGATTGGGTGGTGCTTCTTGGCCCTTGTCAAATAGAGTACCGAAGTGTGACGTCACTGTGAACCAGAAAGTGCAGTGCAAACGAATGGAGTACGTGCGCGTGTTGGTTCACGCGCTGGTTCTCGTGCTAATGCCTTTTACACACTAATTGTGCGCATGATGTATTCACTTCAGTACTCTATAATGAAGGTCCTCAGATGTTTGAAGTTGTTATTAACTTTCTCACTGGGGTCTTAGGTGGCGGAGTGACCATGCCTAAACTTCAGCTGTTTTCTTTCACGTTTTCCCATCAGTGAGTTTTTATGTAATTTTATTCCTTGACTTTGAAAGCACTATCGGATCCAGGACGTTGCAGGGCTCGTGTCTTCGTGGGAATTTTAATTCACATTTCCCCGTTTTTCATTTTCCCCTCTCTGCAGTTTGCGTTGGAAACGGCAATGGTGTGTCCAGCTCAGTGGACATTGACAATGATGACTACCACTACCAGTCACTGAAGGAGCGGTTTGAAGGTATGCTCCTAGGTGTTATTCACAGGAGAGCCATTTGGGATTGGGCTCTAGTTTCCACTCTCCATAATTTGGAACTACCAATGGAAATGCAACGATGTCATTCTCCATGTATATTCCCCCCCCCATTGAATCATCTCCGTTTCCAAATGAGCTGAGTTGGTGGAAAATATTTTTTTTAGGGATTGCATCGCTGAGTTGATTCAAAATGGCCGACTTTTGAACAATTTTAGTTCAACGGGGGTGTGCACTTCGTCATCTTCAAAATGCCTGATTCTGAACCTTGCTTTGATGTTGAATAGGGTATCCAGTGTTTTGTTGTTTCTCTTTTTTTGCAGCAGCAGCAGAAAAAAAAGAAATCTTTCTTGTAAAGTTTGTGCTTCTCTTGTCTCCATCCACGTCAGTTAGGCTGAGCACAGAAACTGAGCACAAAAAGTGTCCATGAAAGGCTCAGGAATTTCTTGCTTGTGACCACTTCACTTGTAACATGTTGTCATTTTCCGGGGGGGGGAGTATGGGAGAAAGGGCTTTTGGAAGAGACTCCAGTGTTAAAAAGATTCCATTCTTGCTGAAAGGTAGACGGCATTTTTCATGGGTCACCCACTGTCCCTAAAAATATTTTGACATCCTGATATTCAGTGTAAACGGCACTGCATGGACTTGTTGAAATGGTACTTTTACGGGAAAAGCCATTCATGGGGGAAGGCACTCGTCACAATAAAATATGAGGTAGGGCACTCGTTACAAAACACTGGGGTTCAATATTGCCCTTACATTAGAGTCCCCCTCCTCTCTCGGTATTGGCAGGTTGCACCTTCGTGGATGGCAACCTGGAGGTGAAGTTCATCCGGCAGTCACACTTCAACATGTCCTTCCTGAAGGACATCAAGGAGGTGACTGGCTATGTACTGATCCTGCTGTACTACCCGGCGGTCCTCTCCTTCCCCAACCTGCGCATCATCCGGGGCTCCACGCTGTACGAGGGTGACCTGGCGCTGTATGTGGCCACCACTTACCACAACCGGCTGCCCGAGGTGGGGCTGCGGGAGCTGCACTTCCCCAAGCTACACGGTGAGTGCGCAAGCCAAGGAGGGTGCTGTCTCCGGGCTGCATGAGTCGCAGACCAGTGAGAGGCAGGTTCTTGCCTTGAAATTGCAGTCACGAAATGTTTGCTATGAATTTAGCTGGAGCTGAAGTGAGTTCAACTTTGGTTGATTTTATTGCGGGAATGTTTGATGTCATGCTGCAAAACTGCTTGTGTTCGCTTTTGCACCAAGTATGAACTTGGCTTGTAATAACCTGCCATAGGAAACAATGATAAATGCCACCATTTCAAAAAATTGGAGGGAAGGAAATTCACAAACCCTGTTTAGAATTCAGTGGACCATAAAGTGCTCTAATAATGTAGCACCGGCTTCGACAGCATAACAATTGAAAATTTAAGTTGGTCTGCCCAGGCTGTTTGAGGTGTATCTACTGGCCTGTTTTCTTAGGATTCATTTGCAGTGGGTTTTGTTGGCTTGCATTTTTTTTATGCATTATTTTGAGTGTTTATCCTGCATCCTACTCGGCATACTTAGGTGCATCTAGGCTTGTCAATAAACCCCTCAGGTGGGACTAGAACCCACAACCTACTGCTTACAAGGGCAGACATCAGGGCCGATTCAAGTCAGATGACAGGCAGGTACAGCACCAAGTGTTTCTTTAACATGTGATTTGAAATGAGACTCTCAGAAGTGGTGAAGTTTAAATCTTGCTCAGTCCAACAGAATGCATTCACAGAAAGCAAAGAAGGTCCAGCGTTCATTTCTTCCCAGCCAACGAGCAGAGCTTAGATCGACTGTACGCAGGTAGCCTCATGCTGTTCAGTCTAATAGCCACGTTCACCTCTTGTCTCCTTCACCTCTTGTCTCCCAGAAATCATTAAAGGCAAGGTCAAGTTTGTGGACAACCGTGACCTCTGCTATGTCAAAACCATTGACTGGCATGACCTGCGTCCAGATCTAGATCCGTGGTACTCGGATCATGCCACATCGTGCCCTGAAGGTGAGGCCATATTCAAACCTCCCCCCGTACATCTAGTGGGGAAAAGAGGGGGTGCAGGGATTTTTTGGGGGGAATTGGAAGGCCAACATTTCAGAAACGGCGTTGGCATCTTTCTTACCAGTTGAAATTTCTTTTCCAGGCGAAAATAGTTGGACATTCATTTGTAGAAATTTTTTTTTTTTCTAGCCATGCCACTGTTTCCACCCGTAACATTGTGTGGAGTGAATTCCAATAAGTGCACTGTCTAAAGATGTAGGGTTTCTAACCAAGTGCTTGCCTACTGGTGGCCAATCTTGGGGGGGAAATCTTGTGGTGATGCAGTACATTGATGTCATTTGTGACTCGCTCGGCAAAAATGAGTCACGCGTCGCCAAAGTCACTTTCGAGTTAAAAGCCCATGAAAGGATCCTGCAAAGTATTTAAGCAGTAGCAACCAACATTTTCAAATCGGCACAACGGTGACCGGTGACTCCTGTCCAAAGAGCGGGTCACATTTAATCGGACTCTGCTGCAGTTACTGTGTGATGTCGAATACCAGAGTGACCACCATAGGATAAGCGGCACCACCACGATCAGTAACTGCCCCTCTGAGATGATGAATTCTTCCAACTTTTATCTCTTCCCACTACTACCGTTACAGATCCTCCTTGCGCTCCAAACTGTCCTGGAGGATGTTGGGGAAGTGGTCCCGATATGTGCCAAGTGTGTAAGTAAAAAGAAAGGATCTTATACGAACCGAAGAGGTGCCGGAGATACTGGGGAAAAAAAGACCTAAATATGGAACTTCGTGAATAGCCAGCTGGAATTAAACTCCAAGCCCCTCCGGATTCACAAAGTGTCCAGAAAATCTGTCAAAAATAAATGAGCGGTTGGCACTAGATAATGTGGTTGGTCTTCATACAAACTTGAAACATGGATTACATGTACATCTGAAAATATTTTGAGTGCCTTGGGGCAAACTGATCATTGAACGAAGATTTGCCACATAAATTGTCTGATTTATTATTATGTTTATTAATAGAGCAGACAGCATCAGGTCAGAATGATGTGAATCGTAAAAATTATGTTTGGGCTAAACTACAGGATTAGGTTTTAATACAGAAAGCAAATATTTCTGACGGTCCAACCGATTGAGAGATTTATTTAGGAAATGCCTTTGATGTGCTGGCATATGTACCAGATGAATGTAGATTGGACTTGATTGAAGAAAAAGTCGGAAACTTTGCCGAAATTGAAGTTTGAATGCCTTGATCTGTTCCCCTGAGATTCGACTCAGTGAGACTTTACAGCGTCTCAGCTGAACCATCGTTTGAAAGTTAGCCGTGCTCCTTGAGCAACTTGGATCCTGAGCCTCACAAGTGCGTTGTATGATATGCACTACCGACGGCATACAACTGTGTATTACATGTGTGCTCGAAAGTGTTTGCTGCATCCTTAATCGTCTCTGCTGTGCAGGTAATGTGCGGACCGCACATGGTTGTTCATGCCCATAGCTAAATCACAGTGTGGCATTATAGTTTACCGGTGGATCGCACTTGTGTACACAAAAGGTCTTTATCACCCTTTGTCTTTCCTTTTTTCCTTGTTAGTGACTCGTAAAAACTGCAGCGGGACATGTGACTACCGTTGCCGGGGACCGACGCAGGCCGACTGCTGCCACCGTAGCTGTGCGGCTGGCTGCACTGGACCAAGTAACAGAGAATGCCTGGTAAGCATAAGAAAGCTAAATGTAAGCCTACATTTAGGTTGGTTCCCTAGTGGACATTTGGTTATGCTGTTTCCAATGTCATTATCATACATGTAGGCTAGGTAAATCTTAAACCAAAAGAGGTTTTATTTTTTTAATTTGAAGTGATAAGTAGGACAGTTACGTATTAATCCACTTGTTTGGGGGTAAAACTATGTTTTTGTTTATAAATTTTGTTAATGGCGGGACCGAGATTTCACTTTTGCATGGAATGGCCCTCGGGTTTCCACATGGTTGTATCGATTGCTGTTAGCAGGTTAGATACCAAGATGCCTACTGTCATGGAAGAGATTGTGTATGACGTTATTCGATGATAAAAAAAGGTCAAAAATTGTGCGCTGAAATATTCCTGTGTTGTCACTGCAGCAAAAACTGATACTTCAGTGTGATGCATTTCATTTATGGTCACTCTGTTGACAACTTGTGTTCCACTTTCTGAGTCGTAAAGAAAAGAAATGTGGCCCTCTCTGAAGACTCATTGTAGACTCATTGTAGTCAGTTGGCAGTCAAAATAAAGATCTATCTTTGCCATGAGTCTTTGCCATCTATCTTTTGCTCATATCTGAGTCCATGCTTGTGTCAGACGCGGTGGACAGTTTCTGTGTGATTGCATAACATCAGGGACTGTTCGGTGATACTGTCTGCATCTCTTTATGTTGATATGGAAAACTAGACTTCAAATTACGTGACCTTAGACTGTAGGCTTGGGGGTCTCTAAAAGCAGCCAAAGGTTAGAAAAAAGTGTCCTAATTGTTGCCCATTCAAAACCTGCCCGGACTGTGCTCATGCAACTTTGAGCATTTCAGTTTTGACAAAGCCAGGCATAATAGGAGCACATTCTCTTTTCTCAACTTTCAGGCCTGTCTCAAGTTCACCATGGACGACCAGTGCGTTGAGGCATGTCCGCCTCGCACCATATACAACCCGGATACGTTCCAGAACGAGCCCAACCCGGACTTCAGATATGCCTACGGGCCCAGGTGTCTCACCAAATGCCCCGGTAAGGAGGTTGTCTCTAGATCAGCTCCCTGATCTGGCAATTTCTTGGCCCTTCAGAATCTTTTTTACTTTGTGTGAGGTTGAGTGCTTTGTACACATTTTGAATTGTTCATTTTTTGTCCTAAAAATGGAGAATTGCTTGTTTTGTGTAGCGCTGAATTCAAAACCCCCCAAAACCAAACTAGTCAAGAAAAATTCACCTTAAGAGAACTTTGGTTAAGGAGTTAGCCAAACAAACCTCCAATAATAAAAAAAAAAGAAACTGGATGTCATCCGACAATTCCTATTTCAAATTCCTCACAGTTTGGTCCATTGTTCATCTTCTTAACATTGTGCAGATAATGTCTTGGAGGAGGGCGACAACTGTATCAACGAGTGTCCCACGGGAACCGTTGAAAGCACAGTACCGGGAGAAAATAAATGCGTGGAATGTGATGGCCCCTGCCCCAAAGGTACGTCAGTGAATCATGCAGTCACTGGCTCTTGAAAGGTGCCTGTAGTTTAGGGATTTCAAGAGTACTAATTTGTCATTCATTTATCTCTGTGTCTGGAATTTTGGGGGGGGGCTTGGGCGTCTGAGAATTACAGATTTATCTTCTGATACGGGCTGTTGGTTTGGGAATTAGGCCAAATGGTAAGATTGGAATCACTAAATGCAGAAAATAGTGTGTGTATCTGTGTGTGTGAGGGCATGTAAAATTGGAAACAAGAGATGCCATCTTTGGAAAGTGGTGTGAGTTTCAGATAGCAGAATGAAACAGGCAGCATGTCTGCAAGTTGAGCTGCGTACTCAAAATTTTACTGGGAAACTCTGGTGTTGGCGGTGGAGCAGATGCATTTCATCAGAATTTTTGTCCAAATTTCTACTCTGCACAGTGTGTGATGGTGTTGAAAGCACCCTCTACAGAGAAGACTTCATCAACGGGTCGTTGTCCAACTGCACCATCATCAAAAAGAACATCTTCATCGGCACATCCTCGTTTGAAGGGTAATTCTAGCATCTAAAAGAGCAATTAGTGTTAGTGTTGTGTTGGAGTCTGTCACAAGTCCTTGCCAGTCCCTGTAAGTCCGTCACAAGTCCCTGTAAGTCCATCACAAGTCCATTACAAGTCATTCAGCCTTGAGCCAATTCACAAGCTATTCAAATGAACCGTGAGAGAAGCATTCTTTTGTCATTGTTCACCCTATGACTTACGACTGGCCTTGTGAAGGGACTTGTGATTGACTTTGAAACTCGTCAAATTCTACATCAAAGTTTTGTGAGCATGTTCAGAACATTGCTCGTCGACAAGATGACGTAATAGTGGAAATGGGTAGGACACAGGCAGTGCGGGTAAGGGTGGTGGGTGTTCATCCTTTTCTGGAAAAAAAAAAGGGGGGGGGGAAATGAAAACCAAAAAGGAAAGAAACGAACCAGGAAGGAGGAAAGGGGAGGAAATGTGTCACTGTAAAAATACCTCAGAATAGACCTTATTCATTGGGAAGCCATTTTTCATCTTGTTCCCTAAATCTGTAATGTTCCGTGTCATCTGTTAGATGGGATGGTGCCAGACTCTTTTGGGTTCCAAGCCTCACTTTCAGTTTTCTTTCAAATGTGGCTTAAAACAGATATTATTATCGCATCAACAATATTTGATGACTTTTTGTTGACCTTTTTTTTACCACGGTTAGTTTTTACTCGCGGGTTCACAAAATGGAAAGTTTTTACCTCACTTTCAATTCAAGATGGTGAATGCATGAATACAGTCTATAACACTCTTTTCATCATTGATTGTATGTCAGTTTGCTGCTGCTGAGTGCTTTGTATCCCTCCTACCCCCCCAAAAGCAATTTCCCTTCCCAGCGACGTCCATCCTTCAGGATTTAGGCGTTCCTGTTCCAAAACAGCATTGCCTAACCTTTACAGAGGAAAGCCACACAGCCTTATGTTGCGATCCTGGCAGAATCTTTCTCAACACAGTTTTCTTGAATGGAGAAAAATGGAACAACTTTTGACAAAGGCACCCAGAGGAGCTGAAATTTCCAGGAATTCATTCATCACTCACATGCAGAAAAAAAAAATTTCAGGCAACTCCGTGGCATCGATTTGTTTTGTAGATTACCGGAGCCAGCAACCAGTAGGAAGTGTTTTTTTTGTATTTTACATTTCCTCACAAAATGACATTGGGTGTGCCTTTTTTTGGCAGGGATCCATTTTCGGGGAAGCAAGGCATTTCTATGGAGTTGCTGGAGCGGCTGAGCACGGTCCAGGAGGTCAAGGGATTTGTGTCCATTCAGGGGCACCACGTCCACTTCACCAACCTCACCTTCCTGCGCAACCTGAAGAAGATCTACGGCCGCAAGTTGTATGGGTAAGGACACTCGCAGTGTGTGTGTGGGGGTGGGGCAAAGAGAAGGCACTGATTGGCTGTCCCTCACAGTGTCAAGTCACAGGTCAAACTCAGTTTCCATGCCAACAGACCTAGACAGCATCGATGACATGCGATCATGTGGCTGCTCTTGATAGCGACTTGATGCAAACGGATGCAGAGTGTTGGTAAAGCTGGATCTTGTTCAACTTTGCCGACTGTCTGCGTCAAGTTGTCCAAGTACGGTGCAAACAAACAATCTAGCATAATAGGCATTCAAGGATGTTTGTCTTGCGAGAAAATGATTTGCTTTTGACTAAAATTATAAATGAAACTCATCAAATTAGAGTGTCTGTTTGGCCTCAAGAAATATTCAAACCAACTAAAAAGGCATATTATACAAAAATTTTCCAGATTTGTGGATGTCACTTTTTGTAACATGGTGTCACACTGTCACTGTCCTGTGTGTGTGTTTCGACCAATAAATGGAAGCCATGCTTCATTATATAATGAGTCCCATGTCTAGCAACAGGGAAAGAATGTAACTCACTTGGATAGCCCATAATTTGACTCACAACCAGATGATCTTGTGATGAGATTTTGCGATCTGGTAAAGACTCTGTTGAGGTGCTGATATCGAGAAAGTGAACAGATTATGTTCAAAAAAATTTCCCAAACTTTGAAAAAACATTCCATATTGATTCCATTGCCAGAGCAGTTTTATTTATTCTTACTTCTGTTTAGTCCAGCACCAAGTGCCAATTACAGGACGATTGTAAGTGACATTGAAGACTATGATGAAGAGATGTTCAGTTGAAAGAGATTCCAGGGAAACCCAGAAAATCAAATAAGGAACTGAGGACCCACATGGCGACCTAGGTGGGATTTGAACCTAGGGTTGCAGAGGTGAAAGAGCTAGGAAAGCGCACATGTGATTGTTTTGTCGTCATTTCACCCTTTTTGTGGGGACCCCAAAAATTCCATAGCGATTTCTAGACAGAGCACACCGATTGGATAAAACAGAAATAGGTAATATAGGTATAGGTCATATGATATATAAGACATACCAGGCCGTAACTGGCTCACACAGGTTAATGCTGAGGTTGAGTTGGGCGTATGGTCCTCACGAGTTCAGAAAAAGCCAACTTTTATACAGTGTTGAAGGGTTTTTAAAACTTTTTATACAACTTTTATACTCTTCTTCAATGTCTGAAAACGATTGACATCCTTTTGTGGTTGATTGTATTGAAAAGTGCACCGTTTTAAACATTTCAAGTTCTCTGTGCTTTTTTGGAAAATGCCGGGCACCATTGCTGTGTTGTCAATCAGGGAAGACACCGCTCAGTTCGTCTGTTCAAATTGCGAACCCAAAATTCGCTCACCAAAAGAATTTGTGACAAAGGGGATACTCGTTGGCTAATTTGCCATTGATTCAAAGACTCATTTGGCGCGGGATATGTGACAATGGGGACCTCCCTCTATTGTGTCGTCTTTTGTGTTGACGGCATCTTTGGAATTCCTTTCAGACATCCGGGGGGGAGAGGTGCTGTAGGCACAATAGCCTAAAGCTTGTGCATCACATGGGGGGGTCTCCTTGGCTACATATCATGCTGGATATACAGACACTCAAGAAGCAGTGTATCACAAAGAGAAGTGGAAATTTCAAATGGCAACATATCATTTCCAGCATTTTGTTGTGTACACAAATCAATGTAACATGGAGGTTTGCTCAAGAATATTGAAAAATTCACATTAGCAGGAAAAACCGCAAAGGCATCAAAAGAACCCTTTATAGCAAACAAACATTGAAAAAAAAATTGAGGAAAATTGAAACTCCAAAGTGCATTCTTCAAGAACTTAAGGAAACAAATTGCATTGCCTGGACCCTTTACAAAGGGATGTCAGAAGTGGACATTGGAGGAAGGAAATGTGATGAGTGAGTTGAGAGACCCAGTGAAGCCATGAATTTGAAATGAAAAGCAAGTGTTACCCTCGTTCATTACAGCAATATGTCTGATCATTTTGTACCCAACCCACCACCTCCACACTTTTCCAGCATCGATGGACCAAAGCAGTACTCGCTGTTCATTAATAGCGACTCGCTTGAGTCGCTGGGGCTGACGTCGCTCCAGCGCATCAACAAGGGGAACATTCTCTTTTACGAGAACCCCAAGTTGTGCTATGCCGCTGAGGGCATGTGGGACAGTATTATGAAACAGCCCGGTCGGCAAACGGTGGAGTTTTATCAAAATAAGGAGCAGCAAGAGTGCAGTAAGTACTTCTCTCCCCACCCACCCCTCTCTGGCATGGGTTCTGGCATGGCATCCATCCACTGGGACCTCTGTGGGATCGGAGAGTTCAGATTCCTGCAGCATCTGGTGACCATTTCAATCTGAGCTGAAGTTTGGAACGGTTCACACGAAAGAGAGATTCAGTTCAAAATGACTTTTTGTCACAGTATGAATTGTTTGAGAAACTTTCTCTGCACCTTTCCCATTCCATATAACTGTGGCACTTCTGTGCTTATCCTGTGAGCAGGTAGACACAAATTTGAAAGTTTTCACAGCTCAGTATGAGATGTTACCAGGATCTTGCAGCAGTGGCTCGACAGCAGAAGGTCCCAAGTGGAGTTTGTATTGAGAGTAAATTGCATGTTGAACAATGTAGAATACTAACCCTCCTGTGTGTTTGTTTTCATGGCCGCATGAATGCGTTGTTGTTGATAGCAACCACGCCCTGTACGTCGCATCGTCCACTGTGCAGTCGCTCAGTCTTGTCAGTTTGCAAAGGATTGAGTCGGGCGACGTGAATATCAAGTTAAATCCGTGGTTGTGCTATGCAGACGAGGCAATGTTTGATGGGATAGGTCACAGGGACATGGAGGTGACCATCTCTCAGAACGGGGAATCAGTCAATTGTGGTAAGTATGGAGAACCATCTTGCCCCACCCAGCTTCCCCCCTCCCCAGCCCTTCTTGGCTATCAGACATTCCCCCAGTCCAGCGCAGTCGTGATGCAGGAGAGATGCTTGTAATCAATCAAGTGAGGTTCACTAAATCCAGCCTCGAAGACATCTTTCAGATTTTTTTTTTTTTTGCTCCGTGAGTGTAAAACCTTGTGTAACTTTTTCAAAGAAGACTGAGGGATGCTTCCCCTCCCCCCAGGAAAATCTAACCAAAACGAATCCCACTAACGCACGCTGCTTGCTTTTGTGTCCAAAAGTTGGCCGAGTTGTTAAAAGATTTCAAACCACTTTTAAAAAAAAGGTGTTTTTCATTTGGTCAGTCCAGTCATTGCAGTACTTAAATTAGCTGGCTACAGGACTGAGCTTGTAATAATTATGGTTCACCTGATTGGTTGAAAGCAGACCCCCCTGCCCCTGCATCACATAACCTTAACCCTCCAAAACCATAACCTGCACGTTTGCATGTTTGATAAAAACTGACGCATGCACAACCCCGAATGCACTTCATCACTCCATAACCAGGCTGACGATAGAGTTCCTGGAGGTGGATCCTATCGGACACTCTCCCACCTTTTTAACACATAACTCGAACCTTTTTCTGTGGAACATCTCCTGTAATTTCACCTGATTCCTGAAGCTTTATTACATTTTCGGAAACGAATTCCGGTATTTCAAAGTAGCAGTTTTTTTTTTTCCAAATAACTTGCACCGCTGCAGACATGTCAGGGCTGCATCTAAATTTTCATGCCTAGAATCACTGTCTTGGGCTACGTGGGTCAAGTAGCATATCGCCCCCTCTTGTCTACAGCCACCCAAGGGCGGATCCAGGGGGGGGTGGCGGGGCAATTTTTTGGTCTATTTCATTTCCCTTCCTTCCAAATCATGTATAAGCACCAAGATGTTGCCTCAATTCCTCAGAAAGGCCTTAAAAGTTTACGTAACAAATTTTCCAACAGTTTGGCCCCCAAGAAACAATTTCGACCTCCCCCCCAAAAATGTGGTTCTAGATCCGCACAGCCCAGCCCTTATTCTAGCAGTACATAGCTGATCCTCACTGTCTTTGGAATCTTCCCCCACAGACATCTCCTAGCTTCAGTTTTAGCTGTGTCTTAATCACGTCTTTTATTCTGACGCTAAACCTCAACTCGCTCACCCGGATAAAAAAAACTCAAGTGTGTCCCTGCTCACATTGTGCCGTGAATACAAACCTTCAATCGTAGCTCCTCCAAGTATGACCTGACGTGGGTCTCATGGTCCTCGAAGGGTTATCTCCTAACTCTGCCAGCCTGTCTATGCAGTGACGTTCACCGCCAGTAGGTGGTCTGCAATCCCCATGTGTCCAAAAGCCCGCTGTTTCGGAATCAAGGGGCCTACTTTTTGTATCCCAGTTTAGATTTGGCATTTCTTGTGATGGCAGACCACCTATCAGTTATGTGCCTGGTCAGGATTTGTTGTGTTGAAATAACTCAGCATTCCTGGATTTTGCATTTTTGTTCAATGGGATTTATTTGCATTTGGCAACTTGGAATCTGCATGAGTTGGATTTTGTTATTTTTTTCTGCATGGTTTTGCATGCATTCTATTTTTCGCTAGATCTTGGTTTTAATGGTTTTGTTTGAAATAAAGAAAGCAAGATGGAACCATCTAAGAATGATTAAAAAACCTCTTTACAAACAAAAGAAAAACTGCTTAATTAACCCCTTTATATCGGGAGCCATCCACAGCCGTGGCTGTGTGTGAGGATTAGTGCATACCACACATACAGTCTATTCACCATGCAGCTGCTGGTTCAATGGAGCCTGCTGCTGGACAGAGCTTTGCACACTGGGCATACCGCAGTCCAGCAGTCACGGTCAAAAGAATCCCGGCGTGAAGGGGTTGACTTCATCAAGTTTCACAATTGTGAAAAAAACAAAAAAACAGATGATGCTACTCATTTCATTTCCATTTTTTGAATTGAAGAAAAAATAGGCTTTGTTTCCAAAACACTACACACACACAGACTTTTAATTCGTGAATAGGCAGTTCCCCTACATTGAAAAAAATAAAAGGACACTGATCATTAGATCATCAAATGTGAAGAAAATATGGTACACGTTGTCTCCTGTCTTCCATACTTGACATGTGCTTACTTTCCATTTGTGAAGTCCTATATTGAAGTCCTATCGTTCGTTCTTCTCATTAGTCCACAAATCACCTCCTGGCAATGGCGTAACTAGGGCTAAATGTGGGAGGGAGCCCCGGTGAGGAGGGGACACGGGCATCCATCCACTGAGGGGCACATGCCTCCAACATTGCCCTCCCACCTGGCCCTCAAAGTTTACACCACTGCCTCCTGACCGCTGTCAGTTGGGGAGTGGAACTATTTGTGTTGGAAATTTCATGAATAATTCATGATTGCTAATTTGAATTTATTCAGCTGTGCTGCACAGCCACACCCACTTTTAGCATTACACTCTTTCACAAATGTGATTACATTCCTTCCCCCCTTCCATCCTTCAGATTTCCCACATTTTGGTTCATTGTGTGTCCACGTTGTCGGTTGTGACTGTCGTCATTGTGATTGTGAAATTAAAAGTCAAAATTTCTTCTTCTTTTTTTCCCCTGCTGCCCATTTGCCAGCTTGCTGTGTCTTAGCAATCCAAAACAACTTCTTGAGGCAATCGTGCATTTCAACCCTCAGTACAGTTCGACGTTTCACTGGACATACTCAATGAGAACAACTCAAAGACACACAAGTGCCAGTTCCATTCAAAAACAGACAATCCACACATACGAGGAACTCAGAACTGCCAAAGAATTCTCTGGCCCACAAATTGGTTTTCTCAATTGCAGGATAAGACTGTTAGGTTTGCATTTTGCCTGTCACAGCGTAGAGTAAATATGTAGAGATGAAACGAATGCATGGGAATGAGCCTAATACTGGAATGCCTGCATCTTTGGTCATAATGATTTAATGAACCGGCATTTTGTCAGTACTTTGATAATATGGCCCAATCCGACAAAAACTTGAAATTACCTGGAGTGCTTCTCGGCTTCGTCCAGTCACAATCAGCGAAAATTGCTCAGGTTTTCCACAAAAATGTTTTATCTTTGACATGTAAATAATAACACATTTTTAATGTGTGCCCAATAGTGCATTGTTCAATAAAGACTTGGTACAGCGCTTGTAAGATTGGGTCATATGTGGAGTATAGGATCTGCTCTGGAGGCTTTGTTCCTACAAACTTGATTTGGAAACAAAAATTCGCAAAAATGACTTTGAAATATGCTGTATAAAGCAGAGCTCTTTCTTTACCTGGGCCAATTTCATAGAGCTGCTTACGTACAAAATTTGCTTAAGTGCAAAAAAACCTTGCTCAAGAAAAAGGTTACCAACTCAAAATGCTAACCAAAAGACAGATAAATACCATTCCAAAACAGTATACATCGCGTGAAGTTTTGGCTTGTAACCTGATTTGTCAAGTAAGGTTTTTTCACGCTTAAGCAAATTTTGTGCTTAAGCAGCTCTATGAAATTGGTTGTAGTCTGAGAAATGGGAACAAAGCAAAATTTGATATATCAAAATATAGTCTGTATAAACAAATCCTCCAATGCTTGACTAGGTAATTGTATTTGTTGGCTATAACATTTATCGTACCGTAACTCCTGACGCACCAACACCCCTTCCTCGGTAGTTATTAGCCCCACCCAGTGATCGTCACTCCTCAGACTCAATGTGTGTTGGTTGGATAGGCCCACTTTTAAAAACTTTTGGCATTAGATTAGATTTCTACAGTAAATTGATCACAGTTGGATGGACCTGAATTCAATTGATTCAATCTCTGTTGAATGTTATGCTGTAAAGATCAAGGAAAATCCGTTGTAGTTTTAAACTCAGATGAAGGAAAGAAACACAAAACTGGTTCTTTCCGTGGCTGGTTCTGTCACAGATGAAAACCCAAAAAGATTGGACATCTGTGAAAATGTTGAATTTGTCAAGGAAAGCCATTTATGCATTGGTACATGTCACGGCTTACCACTGAATAAAATGTATGATATCTAATAGGGGAAAGAAACATTTGGAATTCCTCTTTTTTGGAAATCTGGAAATCCCTCTGGAACTGGCAACTGGAAATTGGATTTATAATTTTAAGTAGCAAAACATGTTTTCCATATTTAGAAAAATCGTACTTGTGCATTTCTGTGATTCCCAAGTAATTTGTTGTATAACTCAAGCTCTGTACTAAAAAAAAATGTGGTTTGAGAGAAACATTCTGTGGCATTTCTGCTGAATCATAAACTATCCTTGGGCCGAGCCATCAGAA